GTCCCGTCCCATCCCTGCTTCCACCTTTTCTCATCCCATTCCTGTCCCCTCCCTCCCTCTCAGTCCCCGCATCCTCCAGACTCCACCCCCATCCCATTGATCCCATCCCAATCCCGACCTCTGCCCCATCCCCATTCCCAGCCCCGTTCTCATCCCAATCCTGAGTCCCCTATCCGCCTCTGTCCCGATCCCGCCCAGTTCCCACCAGATCCCAGTCCCACCTCAATTCCTCCCCATTCCCGGCCCAATTCCTGCTCCATCCTGATCCTGGTCCCCATCCCTGCTCTGTCCCCATTCCTGCCCCAGTCTCTGATCCTGATCCCCTCCCATCCCTGTTCCTGTCTCTATTCCTGCCCCAATCCCAATCCATCCCATCCCATCCTATCCCATCCCCAGCCCCATCCTCATCCCATCAATCCCATCCCATTGATCCCATCCCACTGATCCCACCCCATTGATCCCATCCCACTGACCCCATCCATCCCATCCCATTGATCCCATCCTGTCCCCAATCCCATCCCCAATCCCCTCTCCAGTCTTGATCCCAGTCTCATCCCATCCCAATCCCATCCCAATCCCATCCCCAGTCCCATCCCGATCCCGTTCCCGTCCCCAGTCCCGTTCCCAATCCCCATCCCCATCCCGGTCCCGCTGACCGCAGCCGCTGTGTGTTGGAGGACACCCCGGACAGGCGGTAGATGCCATCGACCACCCCGTGCTGCTCCACGAACTCCGTGCAGCTCCGGACAACCTGCGGCACTGCGGGGCACGGCCCGGCCCCAAGGGGTCCCGGTGAGCCCCATTCCATGGGACCCCACTGATCCCAAATCCCACAGGGTCCCAGTCAGCCCAATCCCATGGGATCCCTGTGAGCCCCATGCCATGGGATCCCAGTGATCCCAGCCCCACAGGGTCCCGGTGAGCCTGATCCCATGGGATCTCGCTGAGCCCGGCCCCGCAGGGTCCCAGTGAGCCCCGTCCCAAGGGATCCCAGTGATCCCAAATCCCACAGGGCCCCAGTGATCCCGGATCCCACAGAGCCACTGGTTCCCGAGGAACGGGGCCACCAAATCCCAAAGGATGGAGCCACCAACCCCACAGAGATGAGGCCACCAAATCCCAAGAAATGAGAACACCAACTTCACTGGGATGAGGCCACCACCTTCCAAAGCATGGAGCCACCAAATCCATAGAGATGAGGCCACCAAATCCCAAGGAACAAGGCCACCAAATCCACACGGATGGAGCCACCAAATCCACAGAGATGAGGCCACCAAATCCCAAGAGATGAGGACACCAATTACACTGAGATGAGGCCACCAAATCCCAAGAAATGAGAACACCAACTTCACTGGGATGAGGCCACCACCTTCCAAAGCATGGAGCCACCAAATCCATAGAGATGAGGCCACCAAATCCCAAGGAACAAGGCCACCAAATCCACACGGATGGAGCCACCAAATCCACAGGGATGAGGCCATCAAATCCAAAAGGATGGAGCCACCAAATCCATGGGAATGGAGCCACCAAATCTCAAAGGATGGAGCCACCAAATCCGCAGGGATGAGGCCACCAAATCCCAAGGAGCAGGGCCACCAAATCCACGGGGATGAGGCCACCAAATCCCAAAGGATGAAACCACCAACCCCAAGGAACAAGGCAACCAAATCCCAAAGGATGGAGCCACCAAATCCACAGGGATGAGGCCACCAAATCCCAAGGACCAGGGCCACCAAATCCATGGGAACGAGGCCATCAAATCCCAAAGGATGGAGCCGCCAAATCCCAAAGGATGAAGCCACCAAATCCACGGGGATGAAGCCACCAAATCCCAAAGGATGAAGTCACCAAATCCCAAGGAACGAGGCCACCAAATCCCGAGGAAGAGGGCCACCAAATCCCAAAGGATGGAGCCACCAAATCCCAAAGGATGGAGTCACCAACCCCAAGGCCCAGACCCCTCCACCCCTCAGGCCCAACCCCCCTGAGATTGGAGCTCCAGCGAGCTCCAACCCCCCCAAATCCCGGCCGAGCCTCGGTGGCCGCAACGCTTCCTGGAGCCCCGGTGACGCAACGGGTGGCGCAAGTCCCCTCCGAGTCCCCTCGGGGGCCCCTTCCCTGCTTCCCACGGTGGCCCTGGTGGCCCTGGTGTCCCCTGGGGGGCTCAGGGAGGGTGGTGGCACTCACCGTCCTGCCCCGAGCGCTGGAGATGCTCCTGGAGGTCGCAGCCGAAGAGGCGCTCCCGGGAGCCGCCCTTGCGCCTCGCCCGCTGCCGGGCCTTGAGCGCCAGGGACATGGGGACACGGGGACAGCGCCGGGGACAGCGCGGGGGACACGGCCGGGGGCGCGGGGGCCACGCCAGGGGGGTCCCGGCGCTGTCCCCGCGGGGGTGGCAGGAAGGCGGAGGCCGCGCTCGAGGCGCTTCCTGCTCCCCGCGGCCACAGCGAAACCACAGTGAGGGCGGGGACGCCTGCGCACACGCGTGTGCAAGGGGCACGCCCTGGGGACAGGGGAGGTGTGAGTGTGTGAGGAACACGGCCTGGGGACACCTGAGTGTGTGAGGGACATGGCCTGGGGACACCTGAGCGTGTAAGGGACACCTGAGTGTGTGAGGGACATGGCCTGGGGACACCTGAGCGTGTAAGGGACACACCTGGGGACACCTGAGTGTGTGAGGGACATGGCCTGGGGACACCTGAGCGTGTAAGGGACACACCTGGGGACACCTGAGTGTGTGAGGGACACCTGGGTGTGTGAGGGACACACCTGGGGACACCTGAGTGTGTGAGGGACACCTGAGCGTGTAAGGGACACACCTGGGGACACCTGAGTGTGTGAGGGACACCTGGGTGTGTGAGGGACACAGCCTGGGGACACCTGAGTGTGTGAGGGACACGGCCTGGGGACACCTGAGTGTGTGAGGGACAGGCCTGGGGACAACTGAGTGTGCAAGGGACAGGCCTGGGGACACCTGAGTGTGTGAGGGACACCTGAGTGTGCAAGGGACACACCTGGGGACACCTGAGTGTGTGAGGGACATGTGAGTGTGCAAGGGACACCTTGCACCTGAGTGTGTGAGTGACATACCTTGGGGACAGGGACAAGCCAATGTGTGTTACACACCTGGCATCACTCAGGCTCATCTGGGGGCATTTGACCACACCAGGGGACACCTGGGGACAGCTGGCCATCCCTGGGGATGTCCTTGCACACCCCTTGCACACTTCCCCCCCCTTACACACTCCCCTGCCCCCCCACCACCTCACATGCACCCCCAGCCCCACCCCGGTCCCCAGTGCCACCCCTGTGTCACCCCCGTGTCACCCACATTTCATCCTTGTGTCACTGTGCCAACTGCATGTCACCTACACGTCTCAGTGTCACCTGTGTGCCACCTGTCTCACCCCTGTGTCACCCGCGTGTCTCAGTGTCACCCATGTCACCCCCGTGTCACCTGTGTGTTACCATGTCACCCGCATGGCTCAGTGTCACTCCCATGTCACCGTGTCACCCATGCCACCCCTGGGTCACCTGTCTGTCACCCCCATGTCACCGTGTCACCCCCATGTCACCTGCATGTTACCATGTCACCCCCGTGTCTGTCACCTCCATGTCACCCTCATGTCACCCATATTACCCATGTCACCCTCATGTCTCAGTGTCACCCACATGTCACCCACGCCATCCCCGTGTCACCCTCATGTCTCAGTGTCACTCCCATGTCACCCCCATGTCACCCACATTACCCATGTCACTCGCATGTTTCCCATGTCCCCCCCGTGTCCCCATTGTCCCCAAGGTGTCCCCAAGGTGTCACACCGGTCCCAGTCCCGCGGGTCCTTTATTTACAGGGTCTATACACGGCTGTACAGCCCCTCCCCCACCCGGGGGGGAGGGGACACGGCTGTCCCCAAGTGCCACCAACCCATGGGGGAGGGGACACGGCTGTCCCCAGTGCCACCCAGCCCGGGGAAAGGGGACACGGCTGTCCCCAGTGCCACCAACCCATGGGAAAGGGGACAGGCTGTCCCCAGGGCCACCACAGCCTGGGGGGGGTTGGGGGAACACGGGGGCTCCCCGGTGTCACCATGAGTGTCCCCAGCTCCTGGTTGGGTGGCACCTGGGGACAGGAGCTTGTCCTGGGGCTCGTCCCCAAGCCTGTGATGGCAGGGAGACGGCATTTGGGGGACCAGAGTCCATCTCTGAAGCAGGGAGGTGACACTTGGGGACCAGAGAATGTCCTTGAGCTCCTTGGTGGTGTCCCCAAGCCTGTGCCAGCAGCAAGGTGACACTTGGGGACCGAAGAATGTCCTGGGGCTTGGTGGTGTCCCCAACTCCATGTGCCAGCAGGGAGGTGACACTTGGGGACTGAAATCCATCCTTGTCCCCACACCAGCAGGGAGGTGACATTTGGGGACCAGAGTCCATCCTTGACCCCACAGCAGCAGGGAGGTGACACCTGGGGACCACAGCCAGTCCTGGGGCACTGTCCTTGTCCCCAACCCCACACCAGCAGGGAGGCGACACTTGTGGACCAGAGTCCATCTTGTCCCCACACCAGCAGGGAGGTGACACAGCAGGGAGGTGACACCAACAGGGAGGTGACACCGGGGGACTGAAGTCCATCCTTAACCCCACGCCAGGGAGGTGACACTTGGGGACCAGAGTCCATCCTTGTCCCCAGCTCCGCACCAGCAGGGAGGGGACACCAAGGACCAGAGTCCATCCTGACCCCACACCAGCAGGGAGGTGACACAGTCCTGGGGCACTGTCCTTGTCCCCACACCAGCAGGGAGGTGACACCAGGGGACTGAAGTCTATCCTTGACCCCATGCCAGGGAGGTGACACTTGGGGACCAGAGTCCATCTTGACCCCACACCAGCAGGGAGGTGACACCCGGGGACCGGAGCAGTGGGGACAGAGCCGGGCGGGCGCGGGGGGTGCTGGCTGTCCCCAGGTGTCCCCCCAGGTGTCCCCAGGTGTCCCCCCGGGGCCCGGCTCACACCAGGTGGCCGCGGCCGTTGATGTAGATGCCGTTGGAGCTGGGCTTGGCCTGCAGCATGCCGTTCTCCTGCACAAAGTGCGTCATGGCCGCCTTGATGGGGTCCCCCCCCCCGCCCCCACCCTCCTCCTCCTCCTCCTTGGGCTCCTTCCCGCCGGGCGCCGGTGGCACCGCGGGGACAGCGGGAACAACCACGGGGACGTCGGTCTGCGTCTCGATCTCCCGCACTGTGGAGAGTGTGGAGTAACTGCGGCCCTCGGGCTCCTCGCTCTGGGGACAAAAGGGACACGTCAGGGGTGCCATCGGGTGTGGGGCGGGGATTGGTGGGGACATGGGCACCATGCGGACATGGGGACTGTGGGAACCAATGGGAACATAGGGATCATGGGGATGTGGGGACAAATGGGGACACAAGGACCAGTGGGGACATGGGGACCATGGGCACCATGGGGACATGGCATTGATGGGGACACAGGGACCAGTGGGGACATGGGCACTGATGGGGACCAATGGGGACATTGGAGCCATGGGGACATTGGAACCATGAGGACCAATGGGGGCATGGGGTCCAATGGGGACATGGGGACCAATGAGACCAGTGGGACATGGGCACCGTGGGGACATGGGGACCAATGGAGATATGGGCATTGTGGGAACATGGGGACCATAGGGACATTGGAACTATGGGTACCAATGAGGACATGGGCACTGTGGGGACATGAGGACCGATGGGGACCAGCGGGGACATGGACACCGTGGGGACATGGCATTGATGGGGACACAGGGACCAATGGACACTGATGGGGACCAATGAGGACATTGAAACCATGGGGACATTGGAACCATAGGGACCAACGGGGACATGGGCACTGTGGGGACATGGGGTCCATGGGGACGTGGGGACAAATGGGGACCAATGAGACCAGTGGGGACACGGGCACTGCTGGGGACACGGCATTAATGGGGACATGGAGACCCTGGGGACATGGGCACTGCTGGGGACATGGCCATCATGAGGGGACACAGACACTCATGGGAACATGGGGGCCACCAGGGACATGGCCACCATGGGGACATGATCAGAACAAGGACATGGACAAGGACACCAATGGGGTCATGGGGACATGGACATCACTATGGGGGACATGGGTGCCACTGGGGACAGGGACACCCCCAGGAACACGGTGACCTGGTGTCCCCGGTGTCTCACCATGGCGGAGCAGATGCTGGTACCACGCAGGCTGTCCCCTCTCAGGCTGTCCCCTCGCAGGCTGTCCCCTCGCAGGCTGTCCCCCCTCAGGCTGCCCTGGCGACTCTCCGTGCGCAGCTGCAGCGTTTCCTCCAGCTGGGACAGGATGGTGAGCGCCCAGGACACCCCGGACACCCCAAAGTCTGACCCCATGGACACCCCAAAGTCTGACCCCATGGACATTCAATGGACATCCCCGGACACACCAAGGACACCCCCAGACACCCCATGGACACTTGAAAGTTTGGCCCTATGGATGTTCCATGGACACCCCAAAGTTTGACCCCAAGGACATCCCATGGGTACCCCATGGACACACCAAAGTCTGATCCCATGAACACCCCATGGACACCCCAAGGACACCTCATGGACACCCCATGGACATCCCCCAGTTTGATTCCATGGAGACCCCATGGATGTCGCAAAGTCTGACCCCATGGACACCCCATGGACACCCTATGGACATTCCATGGACATTCCATAGACACCCCCAAAGTTTGACCCCATGGACACTCCATGGACAATCCATGAACATTCCATGGACAACCCATGAACATTCCAAAACCTGACCCCATGGACACCCCATGGATCCTCCACGGACATCCCCCAGTTTGACCCCATGGACATTCCATGGACACCCCAAAGTCTGACCCCATGGGCATTCCATGGACATTCCATGGACATCCCAAAGCCTGACCCCATGGATCCCCCAGTTTGATTCCATGGAGACCCCCATGGACATCTCCTAGTTTGACCCCACGTTCACCCCATAGACATTCCATGGACATCCCAAAGTCTGACCCCATGGACACCCCACAGCCCAACCCAAGTCCCCCTTCCTTGGGCTCCCCAAGGCCCTGCACCCCCACCCCAAGCCCCCCAATCCCCCACCCCGGGCCCTCCAAGCCCCCCCGGTCCCCCCATTTCCGTGTCCCCACCTGTGCCCGGGGGTCGCTGCTGTGGCTGGAGTGGAGCCTCCGGATGGAATTTTCCCGAGTCAGCGTCAGCTCCTCCTCGCTGGGGACACGGGGGACACTCAGCACCCGCCCCGTGTCATCCCCGAGTGTCCCCCAATGTCCCCTGTGTCCCCTTGTGGCCGTGTCCATGTCGCACATCCTGTGTCACTCCTGTCCCCTGTGTCCTCCCTTGTCCCGCTGTGTTCCTCGTGTCCCTCATGTCCTGCCATGTCCTCTGCGTCTATCCCATGTCCCCATCGTGTCGTCTATGTCCCCATGTGTCCCCCTCTATCTTCCATGTCCTTGTGTCCATCCTGTCTCCCATTGACCCCTGCCCCACATCCCCCATGTCCTTCATGTCCCCAAGTCCCCCCATGTCCCCCAGTGTCCCCATGTCCCTCCATGTCCCCCAGTGTCCCCATGTCCCTGCGTCCCCTCATGTCCCCGTGTCCCCATATCCCTCCATGTCCCCATGTCCCCCAGTGTTCCCATGTACCCCTATGATCCCCATGTCCTTCACGTCCCTCATGTCCCTTACATTCCCCCATGTCCCCATGTCCCTATGTCCCCCAATGTCCCCTATGTCCATCCATGTCCCCATGTCCTTCATGGCCCCCATGTCCAAAGGATGGATGGATGGATGGATGGATGTGTCCCCTGTGTCCCTATACACCCTCATACCTACCATGTCCCACCATGTCCCCTGTGTCCCCATGCCCATCCATGTCCCCCAGTGTCCCCCACGTCCCCATGCCCCTCCATGTCCCTGTGTCCCCTCGTGTCCCCCCGTGTCCCCTGTCCCCTCCCTTACTATTTCTCGGAGATGCGCTGTGTTTTGCGTTTGTGGTACAGGGTCATGACCACCACAACGATGACGAGGACGCAGAGCAGGACGGCGGCGATGACCCCGACCACCACCACCGAGGCCGACACCAGGTCCACGCGGCGCACCGTGTCCTCTGGGGGAGCCCACAGGGGTCAGGGGGCACCCCAAAATGGGGGAGACCCCAAACTAGGGGTCAGGGGGCACCCCGAAATGGGGGGACACCCCAAAGGGGACAGGGGACACCCCATGGGGTCAGGGGACATCCCAAACCAGGGGGACAGCCCAAACCAGGGGTCAGGGGACATCCCAAAATGGGGGGACACCCCACGGGGCTCAGTGGGACACCTCAAAAGGAGGAGACCCCAAAAGGGGTCAGGGGACATCCCAAAAGGGAGGGGACACCCCACGGGGGTCAGGGGACACCCCAAACCAGGTGTCAGGGGACATCCCGAACAGGGAGGACACCCCACAGGGTCAGGGGACACCCAGAACCAGAGGAGACCCCAAAGGGGTCAGGGGACACTCCAAAAGGTGGTGTGGGACGGTGGGTGGGGATGGACAGCGAGAAGTGTCAGAGGGACAGATGGACAATGCATGGATGGACAATGCATGGATGGGCAGATGGATGAGTCCGTCCATGGCTGGAGGAGTGTCCATGATCAGATGGACTGACAGGGACATCCAGGGGTGAGAGGATGGACAGACGGACGGATGGACAATCCATGGACGGTGGGTGGGTGACCAGTGGGTGGGGATGGACAGCGAGAGGTGTCAGAGGGACAGATAGATGGATGGACGGACAGATGGACGGATAAGCAGGAATCTGGAGGCATGACCAGATGGGCGAGTGGACCGAAGGGCGGATGAGTGGACAGAAGGGTGCATGACTGGACGGAAGGGTGGGTGAGTGGACAGAAGGACAGAGGAGAGGACGGAAGGGTGGAGGAGTGGACGGAAGAATTGATGAGTGGACAGAAGGACGGATGAGTGGACAGAAAGATGGATGAGTGGACAGAAGGACAGAGGAGTGGACAGAAGGGCTGATGAGTGGACAGAAGGACAGATGAGTGGACGGAAGGGCGGGTGAGGGCACAGAAGGACAGATTACTGGATGGAAGGGTGGATGAGTGGACGGCAGGGCAGGTGAGGGAACGGCAGGGCGGGCGTGAACAGGCAGTGAGTAAAGCCGGGCTGGGTGAGCACACGATGAGTGGACGGGCGTGGAAGAGGGATGGACCTTGGTGGGATGGGCACAGGGTGGGAGGAGCGGAGGGAGGGACAGACGGATGGATGAGGGAATGAACGGGTGTGTGGATGGACAGATGGACAGATGGGTGGGTGGATGAGTGAATGAATGGATGTGTGGACGGACAGATGGGTGGGTGGATGAGTGGATGAATGGATGGACAGATGAGTGGACAGAGGGATAGGTCGATGAATGGATGGATAAATGAATGGATGGATAAATGAATGGATGATGGATGGATGGATGATGGATGGATGGATGGATGGATGGATGGATGGATGGATGGATGGATAAGTGGATGGTCAGATAAACAGACAGACAGACATACAGACAGATGCAGCAACCAAGCCCAGCACTCCCCTCACCACATTCTCTCCCTTCTGCCATGCCCACCCAGGTGTCCCCCTGTCCCTGTCCCCACCTGTGGCGCGTCCCCGGATGCTGACGTTGGCCCGGGCCTCCTTGGCGGCCACCCGGTTGGACACTCGGCACACGTAGTCACCGGCGTCGGCCACGGCCAGCGGCCGCTGGAACAGCAGCGTGTCCCCCTTGACCCTGACACCCGCGGGCAGCGGCGCGTCCACCCTGCGGGGACAGCCTGGTGTCAGCCATGGTGACATCTCACCATGACAGCCCCGGTGTCAGCCCCAGGCACAGCCTCGGTGACATCTCCTGGTGACATCTCCCAGTGACAACCGTCAGTGACCACCCCAGAGTCAACCCCTGGTGTCAACCCCAGTGATAGCCCCCAGTGACAGTTGCTGGTGGCATCTCCTGGTGACAACCCTTGGTGACTGCCTCAGTATCAGCCCCTGGTGACAACCCCAGTGACACCCTCTGGTGACAGCCCTTGGTGACATCCCCCAGTGGCATCTCCCAGTGACACCCCTCGGTGACAGCCCTGGTGACAACCCTTGGTGACTGCCCCCAGTGACAGGCCCCAGTGACAGCCCCTGGTGACAGCCCTGGTGACAATGCCTGGTGACATCTCCCGGTGACAGCCCCCAAACCAGCCCTGGTGACAACCCCAGTGACAGCCCCTGGTGTCAACTCCAGTGACATCTCCTCGGTAACAGCCCCGGTGACACCCCTCAGTGACATCTCCCAGTCACAGCCCCCATAACAGCCCTGGTGACAGCTCCCGGTGTCAGCCCCCGGTGACAATCCCCAGTGACAGCCCCCGGTGACATCTCCTGATGACAGCCCCCATGAGAGCCCTGGTGACACCCCCAGTGACCCCCCCCAGTGACAGCTCCCAGTGATGGCCCCCAGTGACATCTCCTGATGACAACCCCCAATGACACCCCCAGTGACACCCCTCAGTGACATCCCCTGATGACACCCCCCGGTGACAATCCCGGTGACACCCCCGGTGACAGCCCCGGCCTGCCCGGGCGGTGCCATCGGTGCCATCAAAGCCGCCGTGCCGGTTCCCACGGGTGCCGCCCAGCCAGGCCTGCCCGGGCACGCGGCACTGCCAGGCCCTGCCAGGCCCAGCCACGGCGGCACCGGCACCGGCACAGCACGGGCGGGGGCACGATGGGGGTGGGGAGGTGGGACAGGGACTGGGATGGGACAGGGACAGGGAGGTGACAGGGATGGGGGGACATGGAAGGGACTGGGGAATGTGGCACAAGGACAGGGGGATGTGGAAGGGACAGAGGGACATGGCAGTGACAGGGATGTGACAGGGACAGGGGGATGTGGAAGAGACAAAGGCGACACAACAGGGACATGGAAGGGACAGGGTGACACGGAAGGGACAGGGGGATGTGACACAGGAGGGACAGAGGGACGTGGCAGGGACAGGGGGACATGGAAGGGACAAGGGTAGCACAACAGGGACGTGGTAGGGAGATGGGCACAGGGACATGGGCACAGGGACACGGCAGGGAAAAGAGGGACACAGCAGGGACAGAGGGTCGTGACAGGGACAGGAAGGACACGGGAGGGACAGGGGGACATGGCAGGGACAAGGGGACACAACAGGGACATGGCAGGGACAGAGGATGTGGCAGGGACTGGGGATGTGACCGCGATAGGGGGACACAGCAGGGACAGGGGGACATGGAAGGGACAGGGAGGACACCAGCACAGGCAGCGGGGACACAGCAGGGCCATGGGACATGGACACTGGCAGGGGACATGGCAGGGTCAGGGGGACATGGTGGGGACACAGTGGGGACAGAGCAGGGGACACCACAAGGACACCACAGGGACACAAACATGCTCCAGACCCTGGCAGGGACACAGGGGGACATGGGCGAGGGGACTCAAGGCAGGGGGCCATGGGGAGGTGACAGGGGGTGACAGGGGGTGACAATGGCCTCACCGTGTCCAGTTGAAGGTCGGGGGGGGGTTGCCGTCCCCCAGGCAGGTCAGCGCCGCCCCCTCCATCCCCTCCTGCCACTCGGCCGTGTGGCCCAGCACCGACGCGTCCGACAGGTCTGGGGACACCCAGGGAACAGTCAGGGGACAGTCAGGGGACAAGGTCCCACGGCCCCGCTGTGCCCCCCATGGCCGCAGTGTCCCCCTGTGTCCCTCATCCTCCCCATCCCCAATGTCCCACCTTCCATGTCCCCAAGGTCCTCCGTGCCAGCATCCCCCAGTGTCACCTGTGTCCCTACACACACAATGCCACCTGCGTCCCCATGTCCCCAACACCCTCCACCTGCCCAGTGTCCCCAATGTCCTCAGTGCTCCTCACGATTTCCATGTCCCCAATGTCCCCTGTGCCCAGGATGTCCCCAGCACCCTCCATGTCCCCAATGTCCTCCACACGTCTCAATATCCCCAATGCCTCCATGTCCCTCAAGGCTCTCCATGTCCCCAGTGCCCTCCATGTCCCCAAGACCCCCCAGGTCCCCAGTGCCCACCATGTCCCCAGTGCTCTCCATGTTCCCAACTCCTTCCATGTCCCCAATGCCCATCATAACCCATGTCCCCAACACCCTCCATGTCCTCCTGTCAGTCCCCATGTCCCCAGATGCCTCCCATGTCCCCAGGGCTCTCCACACTACCCAACATCCTCCATGCCCCCTGTCAATCTCCATGTCCCCAATGCCCCCACATCCCCAACACCTCCCATGTCCCCAATGCCCCCAGTGTCCCCAACATCCTTCCTGTCCCAAATACCACCCACACCTCCTGTCACCCCCAACATCCCCAACACCCTCCATGTCCCCCATGGCCCCATCACCCCCAACGCCCCCCACGCCCCCATCACTGCCCGCCGGCGCACAGGCGACGCTGAGCGTGTGCGTGATCCTTTTCTCGTGGCGCAGGCCGGGGTGTGCCACCACGCAGGTGAGGCTCTTGCCGTTCATGCTGCGCCCGGGCACCAGGAAGAACTCGCTGGTGACGGAGGCGGAGCGCGCGTGGGCCGAGCGCCGCGTGGCGTTGGTGCCGCGCACCTCGGTCTCCCAGCGCACCGACGGCACCGGGCTGCCCTCGGCCGTGCACGAGGCCGCCAGCGTCCGGCCCTGGCCCTCCTCCAGCGGCGGGCCCGGGTTCAGGATGGGCAGCGGTGGCACTGGCGGGGGGACAGGGTGGTTAGGGGCACGGTGGTGGTGTGGGGGTTTACTGGGGGCTCGGGGTGTTGGTGGTGTGTGGGGTGTCCACATGGCAGTGGTGCCCATTGTGTCCCCAGTGACTTCTGTGTACCCAAAGTCCCCAAATTGCCCATGCCCGTGGTGTCTCCTGTGCCCTCCACGTGCCCCATGTCCCCTGTGTGCCCCATGCCCCCCATGTCCCCAGCCCCATGAGCCTCATGTCCCAAGCGTCCCATGTGCCCTACATGCCCCATGTCCCCTGTCCCACATGCCCTACATGTCCCATGTCCCCTGTCCCACATATCCCATGTCCCTTATATGCCCCCTATGCCCTATATGCCCATGACCCCATATCCTCTGTCCCATATGTCCCCTGTCCCACGTGCCCCATGTCCCATGTGCCCCATGTCCCCTCCATGTCCTGTGTTCCATGTATCCCCCATGTCCCCTATGCCCCTATCCCTGTCCCATGTACCCTATGTCCCCTGTGTCCCCTTTGCCCCCCATACCCCACATGTCCCCTGTCACCCCCGTGTCCCCCATGCCCCACATCCCTGTCCCATATATCCTATGTCCCCTGTGTCCCATGTTCCTTGCCCTACATGCCCCATATCCCACATGCCCCATATCCCCTGTGTCCCATGTCCCCCCCATGTGCCCTGTGCCCCACATCCCTGTCCCATGTACCCTATGTCCCCTGTGTCCCCCATGTCCCCTATGCCTCCCATACCCCACATGTCCCACATCCCCCCATACCCTCCCTGTCCCCTCTGTCCCACATGCCCCACGTGCCCCACATGTCTCCTGTGTCCCACATGTCCGCCTGTCCCCTCTCTCACCGAGCACCCTGAGCGTGAGGCGCCCCTCGAAGTTGCCCATGGGGAAGGTGATCAGGTGGCACTCGTAGTCGCCCTCGTCGCCCTGCACGGCGTTGCGCAGCACGATGGCGCCGTCGCCGAGGTCGCCGTGCCCGTGGCGCAGCACGCGGCCCACGAACGGCTCCTGCACGTGCTCGCCGTGCTGCGGGTTCAGCACGGCCACCTCGGCGGGCACCGCGCCCGCGCCGCCGCGCTTCAGCCACGTCACCTGCACCACCTGCTCCTGCTCCTGCGCCCGGTACCGGCACGGCAGCACCACGTCCTGGCCCAGCACCGCCGTCACGCTGCGCGGCACCTCCACGCGGCCGCCGCCTGTGGGGACACGAGGGGACAGCTGAGTGACACCTGAGTGTGGCACCTGAGTGTGGGTACAGGCACCTCCACGTGGCCACCACCTGCGGGGACATGGGGGGACAGCTGAGTGACACCTGAGTGTGGCACCTGAGTGTGGGTACAGGCACCTCCATGCAGCCGCCGCCTGTGGGGACACAGGGGGACACCTGTGACACCTGAATGTGGCACCTGTGACATCTGAGTGTGGGTATAGGCACCTCCACATGGCCACTGCCTGTGGGGACACAGGGTGGGACACCTGAGCGTGGCACCTGGGACACTTGAGAGACACCTGTGACACCTGAGGGACACCTGCGTGTGAAACCTGTGTGTGACACCTGTCTGTGGGTACAGGCACCTCCACGCGGCCACCACCTGTGGGATGGGGTGGGGGAGACCTGTGACACCTGAGTGTGGCACCTGGGACACCTGAGTGACACCTGGGGGAGACCTGGGGGACACCTGGGACACCTGAGTGTGACACCTGTGTCACCAGGTGTGTGGCATTGAGCACAGGCACAGGGATGTGCAGGGAGACACAGTGGGGACAGGGATGTGGCACCTCCACCTGCGGGGACACACAGGGACCTCAGTGTGGCCCTTGTGTCACCACCTGTGGGCACCTGGGGTGATTCCAGGTGTGTGAGAGCACATCTGGGCACACCTGCACAGGGCTTGGGCACACCTGGGCACACTCACACACACCTGGGGAACACCTGTAAGGAGCTTGGGCACACCTGGGTGCACCTGCGCTTGCACTTGGGTCTGTTCAAGAGCATCTGGGCACACCTGGGCACACCTGCACAGGGCTTGGGCACACCTGGGCACACCTGGTCCACCTGTGCTTGCACTCCCAGCCATGCAGGAGCCCTTGTGCACACTGACACACACCTGGGCACACCTGGGCACACCTGCAGGATTTGGGGTTCAGTTTGGGGGCCTGGCTGGGCTTTGGGGTGCAGATTGGGGGTGCGGATTTGAGCTGCAGGTTTGGGGTACAGGATTTGAGGTGAGGGTGCCGGGGGCTGCCTTAGGGTTTTGGGGCAGTTTTGGGGTTCAGGATTTGGGGTGCAGATTTGGGGCGCCGGATTTGGGGGGCTATTGAAGGATTTGAGGTAGAGATTTGGGGTGCAGTTTTGGGGACAGGCTGAGGATTTGGGGGGCAGGTTTGTGGTTGAGAATTTGGGGTACAGAATGTGGGGTGCGGTTTGGAGGTCCAAGATTCGGGGTGCAGGATTTGGGATGCAGTTTTAGGGTGCTATCAGGGGATTTGAGGTGCATTTTTGGGGTGCGGTTTTGGGGACAGGCTGAGGTTTTTGGGGGCAGGATGGTGGTTGAGAATTTGGGGTGAAGGTTTGGGGTGCAGAATGTGGGGGTGCAGGATGTGGGGTGCGGGATTTGGGGCTCATTAGGAGCCTTTGGGTTCGAGTTTGGGGTGCAGGATTTGAGGTGCACATTTGGGGTGCGGGATTGTGGATGAGAATTTGGGGTGCAGAATGTGGGGTGGAGGGTTTGGGGTGCAGGATTGTGGTTGAGAATTTGGGGCGCAGGGTTTGGGGCTCATTAGGTGCCTTTAGATCCAAGTTTGGGGTGCACTTTTGTGGTGTAGGATTTGGGGTGAAGGTTTGGGGTGCAGAATGTGGGGTGCGGGATTTGAGGACAAGGTCTGGGGCGCAGATTTGGGGTCCAGTTTTGGGATGCAGGATTTGGGGTGCAGGATTGTGGTTGAGAATTTGGGGTGCAGTTTCGGGGTGCAGGATTTGGGGTGCAGGATTGTGGTCGAGAATTTGGGGTGCAGTTTTGGGGTGCAGGATTGTGGTTGAGAATTTGGGGTGCAGGATTTGGGGTGCAGGATTGTGGTTGAGAACTTGGGGTGAGGTTTTGGGGTGCAGGATTTGGGGTGCAGGATTGTGGTTGAGAATTTGGGGTGCAGTTTTGGGGTGCTGGATTGTGGTTGAGAATTCGGGGTGCAGGATTTGGGGTGCAGGATTGTGGTTGAGAATTTGGGGTGCGGTTTTGGGGTGCAGGATTGTGGTTGAGAATTTGGGGTGCAGGATTGTGGTTGAGAATTCGGGGTGCAGTTTTGGGGTGCAGGATTTGCGGCTATTTAGGATCCTTTAGGTTCGACTTTGAGGTCCAGGATTTTGGGGTCTCCTCGGGGTGGGGGTTAGCTGCATTTTTGGGGGTGCATTTTTGGCAGTGGGCGTGTCCGAGACGAGGGGGCGTGTCCGCAGTTTTGGGGGGCGTGTCCCGCCCCGCCGCCGCCGCCAGAAGCGGCCGGGCCGGCCCGTCCAGCCCAACCGGCCGGGACGGATCCCGCTCTGCCGCCCCCGCCGAGCCCCCCGAGGGCTCCCCAAAACGCCCCCCACCCCCTAAACCCCCCGAGGACCCCAGACTCATTAACCCTTTCATCAATCACCCCTCAGTCCCCACCACGTGCCTCAGTTTCCCCAAGCGCCGCCGCGCTGCAGAGCGAACGGAGAGCTCGGGGTGGGATTGGGGGGTCCCGTGAGGGGTCCGGGGGGTTCCCGCGGGGGTCCCCGCGGCCGTGGGGCCGTTCTGGGGTTCCGTGGGGAGGTTTCCCCCCTCGGGGCGTCCCCACCCAGCGGGGCCCGAGCGCGTGGGAACGGGCGCGGGGAACCGGCAGAACCGGCCCCGCTGCCCCCACGCCCCGCCGGGGAGGGGGGGGGAGCCCAAAACCAGCCCCGGCAGCGGCCGTGGGGGGTCCCGGGGGGTCCCGGGGTTTGGGGAGGGTCCCCCCAAATTCCCACGGGGGTCGAGCCCCGATTGGGGGAGGGGGGGAGGCGCTCGGGGCGGTTTTTTCCCACGGGGACGCGCGCGCGCGCACGTGCGGGGCCACCCCCGGTCCCCGCACCCCGAGATTGAGGGGACACGAGTGGAGGGGACCCCCCCCATCCCCAAAATCCCAAAAAAATCGCTCGCACGAGCGTGGGAACTCCTTGTACACGCGTGGGAACGCCTTGCACACTCATGGGAACGCCTTGCACACGCGTGTGCGCCGCAAGCCCCCGCAGGGCTCCGGGGAAGGCGCGGGGACCCCCTCGAGCCCCCTCCTAGGGTGCGGGTCTCGAGTGGGAGTTCCGCATCCTTGGGTGGTCCCCAGCTCGTTCCCACGCGTCCCGAGGGGAAACTGAGGCACAGATAGAGATGGGGGGGGCGGGGCAGAGCAGGGACCCCCCCCCGGGGCCATCTCGGTTCCCACGGTTTGTCCCCCCCCCCGTTCCACTCAGGGTGTCCCCAGACGGGTCCGCGTGCCCGTGGGGGGGAGCGGAGCCCACGCAGAGGCGCAGGTGCGCACGCACGGGCACGCGCGCAGGTGTGCGCGCACACGCGTGTGAAGCGCCCGAGGCGCTGCTCCCCCCGCACCCCATCATCATCATCATCATCCCCCCCCAATCACGGACACACGGACACGCGGGGCCGCAGGTGCACACACGAGCGCTCCCACGTACACACACACACACACACACGCGCGCGCACCTGCACACACGCGTGTGCGCGCACACCTGCGCGCGCCCCCGCCGCTCCCGGTTTCACCCCAACCCCCGCTCCGTGGGATCCCCGGTGCCTCCCCACCACCCCATCCCGGTCCCGGTCCCGGTTCGGCCCCTCCGGGAGCTGCCGGTGCCCCCGGTACCCCCGAGCCCCGATGCCGGTCGGGGAGAACCGTGGGAAGCGCTCCCGCTCCCGGGACCCCTCGCAGCCGCTCCCGGTCCTTATCCCGGTCTTTATCCCGGTCTTTATCCCGGTGCCGGTGCCAGCCCCGGTATCCCGTGAGCCCTTACCGGTGACGGCGAGCAGGAAGCCGAGCAGGAGCACGGGCGCCCCGGGCATCCCGCGGGGCTCCATGCGGAGCGCTCCGGGCTCACGGCGCCGCTCGGGGCCCGGGCAGCACCATCCGGACCGGAGCGGGCCCCACCGGCACCGCCGGGACAGCGCCGGGACAGCGCCGGGACAACCGGGCACGGCCTCGGCGGCTCCCTCCGGGCAGTACCGGGACGCACCGGGAGCCACCGGGACGCACCGAGGCGCTCCGGGCTGAGCCGGGCGGGACCGGGGCCGAGCCGGGCCGGTGGCGGCGGAGGGGCCGGTGCTGCTCGGCTGCGGGACGGTACCGGGGCAGGGGCGGGGCGGGGCGGGGCTCGGGGGGCGGGGCCTGGCGGGGCGGGGCAGGGGGGGCGGGGCCGGGCGGGGCGGACCGGTCCGGCAGGTCCGGCCGGGGGCGGGGCCGAGGGCGCGGCCTTAAAGCGGCGATGGCCGCGGGGGGAGCGGTGGGGCCACACCCGGCGGGGGGAGCGGCGGGGCCGGGAGCGCTCCCAGTGCCTCCAGTGCTCCCAGTAACCTGCCAGTGTTACCTCCCAGTGTTACCTCCCAGTGCTCCCAGTGCCCTCCATGGACCTCCCAGTGCTCCCTCCCAATGCTCCCAGTAACCCCGCAGTGCTCCCAGTGCCCTCCATGGCACCCCCAGTACTCCCAATGCACTCCACGGACCTCCCAGTGCTCCCAGTAACCCCCCACGGACCTCCCAGTGACCCCCCATGGACTTCCCAGTACTCCCAGTATCCCTCCATGGCCCTCCCAGTGGCCCCGGTGCCCTCCACAGACATCCCAGTGCTCCCAGTAACCCCCCATGGCATCCCCAGTGCTCCTTCCATGACACCCCCAGTTCTCCCAGTGCACTCCACGGACCTCGCAGTGCTCCCAGTGACCCCCTCATGGACCTCCCAGTGCTCCCAGTGACCCCCCCATGGACCTTCCAGTGTTCCCAGTGACCCCCTCACGGCATCCCCAGTGATCCCAGTAACCTCCATGGAGCTCCCAGTGTCCCCCACAGATCTCCCAGTCCACCCAGTAACACCCAATGGACTTCCCAGTGACCTCCCCCCATGACATTCCCAGTGTTCCCAGTGACCCCCATGGACCTCCCAGTGTCCTCCCAGTGCTCCCAGTACCCCCCCCACGGACCCCCCAGTGCCCCTCGTATCCGCCCCAGTCCATTCCTATCCCCTCCCAGTGCTCCCAGTAACCCCTCATGGACCTCCCAGTGCCCTTCGTATCCCTCCCAGCGCCCCCCAATCCTTCCCATTCCCCCCCCCGGTATATCCCAGTTCCTTCCCGCACCTGGGGGCCGTCACCGACACCCCCAAAAGTTTTGGGATCCCCGAATTTCCCCCAGGGAAACCCAATGGGAGTGGGGGGGGATGGGGGGGCGTTTATTGGCACAGCAAAAATTGGGAAAATGGGGAAAATCAGGAACGGGAATGGGGGGGGATCAGCAGAGACCAGACCCAGCTAAGCACACCGGGGGGACCCCAAAATTGGGGAGGGGGGATCGGGGACCCCCCTCAGGACCCCCCAACTTCGGAGCTCTCCGGGGAGGGGTCCTTGGAAGCGGAGCAGATGTGGAAAATCCCTGGGGGAGGGGGAAGGAAAGGGGGGTTAGGGGCGTGAGGAGGGGATTTGGGAACCCCAAAATTACCCCCAAAAAATTGTGAGAAATTGGGGGGGGAATCTCACTCCCTGCAGAGCCCGGGCACAGCTCAGCGCAGGGATGGACACCCCAATTCCAGTGACCCCCCCAAAATCCCCCCCCTCGTTCCTGTGCACCCCCAAATCCCCCTGACCCCCCAATCCCCGTTCCCATGTCCCCCTCCCCCCCGGTTCCGGTGTCCCTCCCGTTTGCCCTCCCGTTCCCGTGCTCCCCCCAATTCTCCTGACCCCCTCCATTACCGTGACACCCCCAAATCCCCGTTCCCCTCCCCGTTCCCGTTCCCTCCTATTCCCGTTTACCCTCCCGTTCCCGTTTCTCCCCGCACCGTTCCGGTGCTCGCCGTTCCCGTTTCCCCCTTCCCATTCCCGTTCCTCCCCCCGTTCCCCCCGTTCCGGCGCCCCCGCCCCCGTTCCCGTTTCTTCCCCCCCTCCATTCCCGTTTCCCACGCCCCCGTTCCCGTTCCTCCCCGTTCCCATTCCCCCCCGCCCCGTTCCCGTTTCCCCCCCGCCCCGTTCCCGTTCCTCTCCTCCTCTCCTATTCCCGTTTCCCTCCCCTCTCCCGTTCCCGTTTCCCCCCTCCCGTTTCCGTTCCCCCCGCCCGCTCCCGTTCCCGTTTCCCCCCTCGTTCCCATTCCCGTTCCTCTCCATTCCTGGTCCCGTTCCCCGTACCGGCCAATCCCCCCGGTTCCCGTTTCCCTCCAATCCCCGTTCCCTCCCCTCCCCATTCCCGTTTCTCCCCTCCATTCCCGTCCCGGTTCCCCCATTCCCGGTCCCGTTCCCATTCCCGTTCCCGGTTCCCGTTCCCGGTACCGGCCGATCCCCCCGGTTCCCGTTTCTCCCCCTCCATTCCCGTCCCGGTTCCCCCATTCCCGTTCCTATTCCCCCCCATTCCCGGTCCCGTTCCCATTCCCGTTCCCGGTTCCCGTTCCCGGTACCGGCCGATCCCAGCAGCGCCGCCGCCACCCAGGCCAGGATGAAGGACCAGGAGAAGCTCCAGGAGCTGCGGGGGGGCCCCAGCAGGGCCAGAGCCCCCCCAGAACCGAGCCCGAGCCCCAGGAGGGACAGCAGCCCTGGGGACACCGGGGACAGGAGTGACAATAGAGCGGGGACAGGGACAGCGGGGACAGGAGTGACAATAGAGCGGGGACAGGGACAGCGGGGACAGGGACAGTGACAGCGGGGACAGGGCCCCCCCAGAACCCAGCCCGAGCCCCAGGAGGGACAGCAGCCCTGGGGACACCGGGGGAGTCAGTAACAGGGGACAGGGGACAGCAGGACAGGGGACAGCTGGGAGTGACAATAGAGCAGGGACAGGGGACAGTTTGGGACAGGAACAGCAGGGACAGGGGACAGCTCAGGACCGGGACAGCTTGGGACAGCATGGATAGCTCGGGACAGGGACAGTAGGGACAAGAGTGACAATGGAGCAGGGACAGGGGACAGTTTGGGACAGGAGTGACTGGGGACAGCAGGGACAGGAGTGACAATGGAGCAGGGACAGAGGACACTTCGGGGCACTGATGATGCCAAAATTCCCACCCTGCAGGGACAGGGGACAGCTCAGGACAAGGGTGACACTCCCAGCAGGGACAGGGGACAGCTCAGGGCACAGTGACACTCCCAGCAGGGACAGGGGACAGCCCCGATGTCCCCAAATCCCCACCCTGCCCAGCCCAGCGCTGCCCCTCTGGGGACAGTCCCCAACCCCTGTGTCTCCCATCTCCCCCCGTGTCCCCAGGTGTCCCCAACGTCCCCAGATGTCCCCACGTACCTGCCAGCAGCAGGGTGGCCCCCGCCGCCCGTTCCCGCTCCCGCCGGGCCCCGCCGGGCCCCAGGGGCAGCCCCAGGACGAGCCCCGCGGCCGCGGCCACCACCGAGAGCAGCAGCAGCGCCCGGGTGGCCTCCAGGAGAGCTGGGGAGGGGACACGGAGTGGGGACAGCGCGGGGACACCGCGGGGACACCCCGGTTACCATCTCCAGGGGACACCCGCGGGGACAGCTCTGAGGGTGGCACCGCCACGGACAGGGGTGGGGACACTGGGGACAGGGATGGACCCCCCCCCAGTTTCTGTCCTGCATGGGGGTGACACCTCCGGGGGACGCTGGGGACACCCGTGGGGACAGCAATGACACCACCAAGGGTTGGGGACATTGGGGACAGGGATGGACCCCCCCCCCAATTTCTGTCCTGCAAGGGGGTGACATCTCCAGGGGACATCGGGGACATCTTGGGGGTTGGCATCACCGGGGATAGAGGGGACACCACTGAGGGACCCAGGGGTGGGGACATTGGGGACAGGGATGGACCCCCCCCAATTTCTGTCCTGCACATGGGTGACATCTCCAGGGGACGCTGAGGACACCCGTGGGGATGGCTGGGGACAGCCGGGACACCACAGGGACACCGTGAGGTGTGGGGACATTGGGGACAGAGATGGAACCCCCCAAATTCCCGCCCTGCACAGGGGTGACACCTCGGGGGGACGCTGGGGACACCTGCGGGGACAGCAATGACACCACCAAAGGTTGGGGACACTGGGGACAGTGATGCCCCCCCCGTTCCCGCCCCCTTGTCCCCGTGCCGGCGTACCTGGGGTGGTGGCATGCGGGTGGCACTGTCCCCCGAGGCAGCCGTGCCACAGCCCCAGGCTGGCCGTGCCCCCCGGTGCCCGGCGCTGTGCCCAGAACGGGGTGGCAGTGGCGGCCACCAGCAGTGCCAGGCCGGTGGCACCGCACAGAGACCCCCCGAGTGGCATCCTGAGGGGACACGGGGACACCTGGGGACATGGGGACAGTGTGGGGACAGTGTGGGGACACAGCGACAGCTGGGGACAGCTTGGGGACAGCATGAGGAGAGCATGGGGACAGTGTGGGGACAGTGTGGGGACAGCTGAGGACAGTGTGGGGACATGGGGACAAGCATGGGGACACAGGGACAATGTGGGGATAGTGTGGGGACATCTCTGGGGGACACGGGGACAAGCATGGGGGCATGGGGACACGGGGACGGGTGTGGGGACATGGGGACAGAGTGGGGACAGCTTAATACAGTGTGGGGACAGCTGGGGACAGTGTGGGGACATGGGGACAGCTGGGGACAGCAGCAGGGACACAGGGACAGCGTGGGGACAGAGTGGGGACATGGGGACAAGCATGGGGACACGGGGACAATGTGGGGATAGTGTGGGGACATCTCTGGGGGACACAGGGACAGGCGTGGGGACACGGGGACGGGTGTGGGGACACAGGGACAGCTTGGGGACATGGGGACAGTGTGGGGACACGGGGACAGGTGTGGGGACACAGGGACAGCTTGGGGACATGGGGACAGTGGCAGGGACATGGGGACAGCGCTGGGTGCATCTGTGGGGGACAGGAGGATGCCCAGGATGTCATCTCATGGGGACACAGGGGACATCCCAGGGGACATGGGGATAATTGTGGGGACACCTGTGGGGACATCCCTGGGGGAAGGGGTTACACGGGGGTGGCACCTCTGGGGACACGGGGGACATCCCTAGGGGAGGGGCCGCAGGGGTGGGGACACTGGGGACAGACACAGGGGACACAGGGGACATTGGGGACATTGGGACTCACCCGCCGTCAGCAGCCACGGTGCCACTGGCCCATGGCCCCTGTCCCCGTGTCTGTCCTGCTGTCCCTGCTGTCCCCGTGTCCTGCTGTCCCCAGGGAGGGGACAGGGCCCCCGGCGCGTGGCACTGCCATTGTTGGGGACACAATGCAGGAAGGCTCTGGCTGCTGAGGTGGCACCACGAGCCTGTCCCCAGGCGGGTGACACCGCGGGGAGGGGGGGACACGGCCCTGGTGACACCGACGGGTCCTGCCAGGCCTTGGGGACAGCGGGGTGACAGCCCCGAGGGCAGGCTGGGGACATTAGGGACACTGCCCGGGCTGGAGAGGGGACACTGGGGACATTGGGGACATGGGGACGGGACATTGGGGACACAGGAGACATAGAGACGCGGTCAGGGGGACACTGGGGACATTGGGGACATGGGGACAGCGGGGTCTGGGACACTGGGGACACAGGGGATGGGACATTGGGGACACTGGGGGTTCACTGGGGACATTGGGGATGGAACACTGGGGACATGGGGACACCGAGGACATGGGGGCAGCGGGGTCAGGGATGCTGGGGACACAGGGACAGGGACACTGGGGACATTGGGGACATGGAGACAGCAGGGTCAGGGACACTGGGGGTGGGACATTGGGGACAGAAGGGCCATAGAGACATTGGGGTCAGGGGGACATGGGGACAGGGACACTTGGGATGGGACATTGGGGACAGTGGGGACAGTGGGGACAGGGGCACTGGGGACACTGGGGGGACACTGGGGACATTGGGGACACTGGAGAGACACGGGGACACACACAGGGGTCAGTGCCCGCGGGCCGGTGGCAGCGGGAGGACCCCGGTGACAATGGCGGTGACAATGGCCGTGACAATGGCGGTGACAATGGTGACACTGACGGTGACGATGCCGCGGCCGCCGCGCGGGGGCGCCCCGGAGCAGGGGGGGCTGCAGGGGACACCTGGGGGGGGGCGAGAGGGGCGACCCTCAGGGGCTGCACCCCCAAACCCCACAGAGACCCCCGAGAAACCCCAAATCCCACAGAGAGATCCCCCAAGAGACCCGAAATCCTACAGAGACCCCAAATCCCATAGAGAAACCCCAAATCCCACAGAGACCCCACAAAGACCCCAAACCCCACAGAGACCCCCAGGAGAGACCCCAAATCCCACAGAGAGACCCCACAGAGACCCGAAATCACACAGAGAGACCCTAAATCCTACAGAGACCCCCCCCCAGAGAGACCCCAAATCCCACAGAGAGATCCCAAATCCTACAAAGACCCCCACAGAGACTCCAAATCCCACAGAGACCCCCGAGAGACCCCAAATCTCACAGAGGTCCCACACAAAGACCCCAAATTTCCCCGAGACCCCAAATCCCACAGAGACCCCAGAGACTCCAAATCCTACAGAGACACCCCAAATCCTATTGAGATCCCCCCAGGAGAGACCCCAAATTCCACAGAGACCCCAAATCCCACAGAGACCCCAAATCCCACCGAGACCCCGAATCCTACAGAGATCCCACAGAGAGACGCTAAATCTCACGGAGATCCCAAATACTACAGAGACCCCAAATCCTACAGAGAGACCCCAAATCCTATTGAGACCTTCCCCAGAGACCCCAAATCCCACAGAGACCCCAGAGACTCCAAATCCTACAGAGACACCCCAAATCCTATTGAGATCCCCCCAGGAGAGACCCCAAATTCCACAGAGACCCCAAATCCCAGAGAGACCCCCGAGAGAGACCCCAAATCCTACAGAGAGACCCCACAGAGACCCGAAATCACACAGAGAGACCCCAAATCCTACAGAGAGACCCCAAATACTACAGAGACCTTCCCCAGAGACCCCAACGCCTACAGAGACCCCAAATCCCCCCGAGACCCCAAATCCTACAGAGATCCCAGAGACCCCAAATCCCACAGATACTCCATAGAGACCCCAAATCCCACAGAGAGACCCCAAATCCCAGAGAGACCTCCGAGAGAGACCCCAAATCTCACAGAGAGACCCCAAATCCCACGGAGACCCCACAGCGACCCCAAATCCCACGGAGACCCCCCCCAGATCCCATCAAGCCCCCAGACCCAACACTGGGGGAGGGGCTCGGGGGTGTTCCTGGGGGTCCCGGGGCTCTCGGGGGATTTTCGGGGGTCCCGGGGGTCTCGGTGGTCCCGGGGTGTTCCTGGGGGTCCCGGGGGTGTCCCCGGGGGTCTCACCGGGTGCCACCCGCAGTGTCACGGTGCCACACGCGCAGTCGCTGTCCCCCACCAGCAGACACGTGAAGATGCCACTGTCCCCTCCGCTCACGTCCCGCAGCTCCAGCGACACCGGGGCGACATCGGCGGCGACATCGGCGGCGACATCGGCGGCGACACCAGGTGCCACCAGCGCGGCCCTGGCGCCGTACGGGGGGTGGCACCGAGGGGGACCCCGGCCCCTGGCGCACACGGGGACAGCGGGGACAGCGGGGTCACCCCCGCGGTGCCACCAGCGCACTGTCACCAGCCGGCCCAGGGGCGCGCCCGCCGCGGGACAGCGCAGGGTGACACTGGAGCCCCGAGTGGCGTTGGTCACCGCCAGGCCACCGTGAGGGCTGCGACAGTGCTGGCACCCCCCCCGCGGGGCCACCGGCACCTGGGGACAACGCGGGTGTCACAGCGGGGGTGGCACCGGAGCCGTGGTGGCGCTGGGGACAGCGAGGACAGGTGGGAGGGGTCTATGAGGGGACCCTGGAGGTGTCACTGTCGCATGGGAGGGGGTGACACTGCTGGGGGACACTCGGGGACAGCCAGCAACTCCGGACAGGGGCGGCGACAGCGATGGGGACAGGGATGGGGACAGGACAGCGACATCCCCCCAGTTCCGAGCCCTGCAGCCCCTCCGGCTCCCCCGCACCCCCAAATCCCGCCCCCTGTGAGCCCCCAGACCACCGAATCCCCAAGACCCCCAAGCCCCCCCCCCTCAATCCCGGCACCCTCAGTTCCGCTCCCAGACCCCCAAAACACCCCTGAACCCACAAACCCCACAGACCCCGAACCCCCCTCCCAAACCCCCCTGGAACCCCCAGAACCTCCTGAACCCCAAACCCCCCAGAACCCCCCTGGACTTCCCCAGAACCCCCTGAAACCCAAAACCGACAGACCCCGAAACTCCTGAACCCCACAAAACCCCCCACAAAACCCCAAACCGCACAGACCCTGAACACCCCCGAAACCCCTTTGGGCCCCCCCAGAACCCCCAAACCCCACAGACCCCGGAGCCCCCGGAACTCCTTGAACCCCAAACCCACAGACCCTGAATCCCTCTGGACCCCCCCCCCCCCAAAACCCCCAACCCCCGAGCCCCCCAAACCCCCCTGAACCCCCTGAACTCCAAACCCCACAGACCCCCAATCCCTCTGAACCCCCCCTGAACCTCCTGAACCCCACAGACCCTGAACCCCCAGAACCCCAAATCCCACAGACCCCGGACCCCTCTGAACCTCCAGAACGCCCAAACCCCCCTGGACGCCCCCAGACCCCGAACCCCACAGACCCAGAACACTCCCCAAATCCCCCTGAACCCCCCTAGAGCCCCAAACCCCACAGACCCCGAACCCCCCCGGGCCCCCCCCAAAACCCCCTGAACCCCAAATCCCACAGACCCCGAACCCCCCCGGAACCTCTGGACCCCCCCCCGGAATCCTCTGAACCCCAAACCCCAGAGACCCCGGGACCCCCTGAACCCCCAAAACCCCCCTGCACTCCCCAGAACCCCCCCGAACCGCCAAACCCCCCCTGAACCCCAAACCCCACAGACCCCGAACCCCCCCGGGACCCCCCAAAACCCCCTGAACCCCAAATCCCACAGACCCCAAACCCCCTGAACCCTCCCAGAGCCCCCCAACCCCTCTGGACCCCCCACAGCCCCCAGAACCCCAAACCCCCCGAGCCCCCCCAAACCCACCGGGGGTCCCCAGGGCCGCCCCCAGCCCCAGGGGCAGCAGCAGCAGCTCCCACATGGCCCCGGGGGGACACACGGGGGACACGCGGGTGACACCGCCGGCCGCGGGGGGGACACGGGGGGGTCACAGGGCCCGGCCCTGCCACGTGGCGGCCGCTCCTCCCCGCGGGCCGGCCGCAATGTCCCCAAATGTCCCCAAATGTCCCCGAATGGCCCCGCGGGTGTCCCCACGCCAGCCCCGGCCAAGTGCTGGGGTCACCTCCTGTGTCACTGTCACCCCCATGTCCCCACAAAGTGTCCCCATGTCCCATCCAGGGTGTCCCTGCCACGCCCGTGTCCCCTCAAAGTGTCGCCATATCCCCCCAGAGTGTCCCCGTGTCCCTGTCAGGGTGTCCTTGTCACCTCCATGTCCCTCCAAAGTGTCCCCATGTCCCATCCAGGGTGTCCCTGCCATGCAGAGTGTCCCCGTGTCCCTGTCAGGGTGTCCTTGTCACCGCCATGTCCCACCCCTGAGTGTCCCCGTGTCCCATCCAGGGTGTCCCTGCCACCCCCATGTCCCAGTCAGTGTCACCCCCATGTCCCCCACAGGGTGTCCCCCCCTCCTCAGGGTTTTTCTGTCACCCCCCTGTCCCCCCAAACTGTCCCTGTGTCCCATCCAGGGTGTCCCTGTCACCCCCATGTCCCCCCTGGCTGTGTCCCCCCCCTCCCATCCTGTCCCTGTCTCCCCCCCAGTTGTCCCCATGTCCCCTCGAAGTGTCCCCACGTCCATCCAGGCTGCTCCTGTCACCCCCATGTCCCTCCCAAGTTGTCCCCATGTCCCCCCAGGGCTGTCCCCACCCTCCTCCGTGTGTCCCCACCCCCGATATCACACAGGGCGGGGGTTGAACAACCCAACCCCCCTCCCCCCAAAACCCCCCCCGGACCCCCCCAGTGTCCCCCCCCCATTGTCACCCCCTCCCGGTGTCACCGGACGCTCCCGCCCTCCTCGGGAAAGCCACGCCCGGATCTCTCAAGTGCCGCCGCTTTATTGTGGAGGGCGGGGGGGACCCTGGGGGACCCCCCCCCCCCATCCTGTGCCCCCCCCTCAGTCCTGCAGGTTGCGGAACGCCGCCACCATCTCCTCCTGCAGCTGCGCGTAGCACGCCAGGATGCGCTGCTCGCCGTCCTTCACCGGGTCCTGGGGACACGGGGACACCGTGGGACACCGGGGGTGGCACCGTCAGAACCCCCCCGGGCCACCCACATTGAGATTCGTGTGGGATCCCCCCAAAAAGATCTACCTGGGACCCCCCAAATGGGGTCACACCCCTCGCTCTGATGGTCACAAGGGACATGGGGGACACGGGGGGGACATGGGGGTGTCACCGTCAGAGCCACAATGGGGTGTCCCCAAACCCCCCTGAGTCACCCACATTGAGATTCGTGTGGGACCCTCCCAAAAAATCCACCTGGGATTTATTGTGGGACCCCCCAAACGGGGTCACAGCCCCCCCTGTTCTGATGGTCACAAGGGACATGGGGACACGGGGGGACACGGGGGGGTGTCACCATCAGAGCCACATTGGGGTGTCCCCAAACCCCCCCGGAATTCCCCCCCGGAACCCCTGGACCCCCAACCCCCCTGAACCCCCCCTGAACCCCAAACTCCACAAACCCCCCCGGGTCACCCACATTGAGATTTGTGTGGGATCCCCCCAAAAAATCCACCTGGGATTTATTGTGGGACCCCAAATGGGTCACACGGCCCCCCGTTCTGATGGTCAGGTCACAAGGGACATGGGGACACGGGGGGACACGGGGGTGGCACCATCAGAACCCCCCCGGGCCACCCACATTGAGATTCGTGTGGGATCCCCCCCCAAAATATCTACCTGAGACCCCCAAATGGGGTCACGGCCCCTGTTCTGATGGTCACAAGGGACATGGGGACACGGGAGGGACATGGGGGTGTCACCGTCAGAGCCACATTGGGGTGTCCCCAAACCCCCCTGAGTCACCCACATTGAGATTCGTGTGGGACCCCCCCCCAAAAAATCCACCTGTGCCCCCGAACCCCCCTTAACCCTCCCCCAGGACCCCCAAACCCCCTTTAAAATCCCCCAGGACCCCCAAACCCCCGCCTTAACCCTCCCCCAGGACCCCCAAACTCCCCCTTAACTCTTCCCTAGGACCCCCAAATCCCCCCTTAATTCAGCCTAGGACTCCCCCATGGGGGTCTCTGCCCCCAAACCCCCCCTTAACCCACTCCTAGGACCCCCAAACCCCCTTTAACCCTCCCGTGGGACCCCCAAACTCCCCTTTAAAATTCCCCAGGACCCCCAAATCCCCCCTTAACCCTCCCGTGGGACCCCCAAACTCCCCTTTAAAATTCCCCAGGACCCCCAAATCCCCCCTTAACCCTCCCCTGGGACCCCCAGACCCCCTTGAACGCCCCCAAAAAACCCCCCACCTGGAACTTCATGGCGCTCAGGCGGTACAGGATGTCGCCGAGCCCCTCGCGGATGGTGGCCCAGGTGACACGCTGCTCCTCGGGCCCCGCGCCCTCCACCGCCCCCCGCGCCAGCTCGTAGAAGGTGACCAGGTTCTGCAGCATGCCCACGGTCTTGTAGAACGGGCAGAACCTGGGGGGGGTCACGATGGGGGGGTTTGGGGGTGTCAGAGAGGGAATTTGGGGAGTTTGCGGGGAGTTTGGGGGGTCAGGAGGGAGTTAGGGGGGATTAGGGGGTGTCAGAGTGCAGCATGGCCACGGTCTTGTAGAAGGGGCAGAACCTGGGGGGGCCCGGGGGGGTCACGATGGGGGGGGGGGGGGTTTGGGGGAATTTGAGGGAGTTTGGGGTGTCAGGGAGGGAATTTGGGGGGGGGGGTTTGAGGGGAGTTTGGGGTGTCAGAATTGGGTTGGGGGTCTCAGGCTGCAGCATGGCCACGGTCTTGTAGAAGGGGCAGAACCTGGGGGGAGGTTGGGGGGTCAGGATAGGGGGGTTTGGGGGAGTT